TTATTATTCTGCATGAATCTAAAAGAGAAGTATGTCCTCAAACTGAATTTTGCTGGGGGTATTGTATGTAGTTTATCCACTTTTGTATAAATCTCGATCAGGAGTGGAAAATACCCCGTCTGATGTTGGTAACTTTTTATGTACCAGAGATCACGATTGAATGATCTATGTAACAAACTTTGCGCAAAAAGTTTGTTTTGCAGTTGTGCCGAAGCGATTTCTGTGCAACGTTTAAGAATATCATAAATGTCCGTCATGTGATCAACACAGTCATGTGACTTTACAGAAATGCTTTATTATAATACCTGATTAAACTATTATCTCAAGTTGACTGCAATTTCAATCAAGGATTACATATTGAAATTAAAATCTAGTTCAACATAAAATGTATGTTTTTATGGCATTTTAAGTCGTCCGACAGCCTTATCATAACTTCGTTATGTTTCTTTTCAGGGAAGTGTGACATTGGAGAGTTTTCTAGCAATGGTTTAATGCCTTGCAATATTTGTCCAAGGGGCACATATAGTAGTGTGAAAATGTCAAAAACTTGTGAACCTTGCCCTTGTGGAAAAACATCAAATCCAAAAAGCGACTCCGTGAAAAAGTGTACAGGTAGGTACCGTAAATCTGGAAATTTTTACGTCGATTTATTTTTGCGAATCTAGGTCAAAAAGCTGTTGATTAATTTTTACGTTTCAAATTTTTGCGAATTGTCATTGGCGCTAAAAATAAAAAGCACTTAAATTTTCATAACAGTTTATATGTTTCACATAAGTAAGCAGAATTAGAATACCATTAACATATACTCTGCAATGTGGCCAAAAACTCCGCTCCGGAACAATTTTGAAAAATACAAAAGGAATTGCACTGAAAATAACTTTTAAATTAATTATAAACCATTTTGATGCTGTGTATGCCTTTTAACCTAAGATATAAATCCAAATAAAGACGAAAATTCCACTAACTTCCTCACCTCAAATTTACACGCCATATTTACATTTGGAACTTTCTGGATTGTTTGTGGAAATGCAGTGAGTTTGAGTTATCGCCCGTGTGTATTTTGCAACACTGTGAATGTATCACGGAACGAATTCTTTCATTAAAACCAAGTCCGTAGGACAATATCATGTTAACGATAGATCATTCTATCAAGGTTCACATGTACATACAATAAATTACATATATACGTACGGCAATACAAAACGACGCCAACATTCAATAATCAGAAGAAATATTAGAAGAGATAAAACATCTAAACTCTATTTTATCAAATCATGCTTGTACATAAAATATATTTAAACGGTGTCAACTTTAACCTTACAAATTCAAATAAAAATATTGTCAAGTTAAATTTTAATTAAAATTTTGTTAAAATGATCCAGTGTGGGAACAAATTTGTCACTGTGATTAAAATTCAAATGGTAGTTTCAGCGCGTCTGGAATACTAGCTTTCTTTAAAAACCGTTGTACACTTTTTATAGGTTTCTCTTAATGTATGATATGGCTGAATCAAGCCATTTTGTACTGGGTGGTTTTAGAACGGACATTCCAAGATTAATATCCAATTCATCACCAGCTTTGAGTTTCGCTGCGACCTTTTCAGCATGCCACGTTTCAAACTGTTCACGCATGTGGTCTTTAACAATCTTTTGAACACTCAAGTCCATTGGCTGCAGTTCTGAAGTACAGTTCGGTGGGACGTATACATAAACAAGACCCAGTTTTTTCATTCGATCTCTAAATTCCTTGGAAAGTTGTGCACTAAAAAAGTCTAAAATGATCAGAGCCTTTTGGCGCAAAGGCAAGTCTAGTTCATCACTCACTTTGTTTATGTATGGTATGATGACCTTGTCAAGATAACGGAAACTAGTTTCTTTGTTCGCCCAATGATTATCTGTGTGAGTAACGTCCCAGTCTCTAGGAAAATTACATTTTGCATGACAGGCATCTGTTTTCCCCTTATAAATTACTTACGGTGGCAGAATATCTCCGCTCAAAGCTCCGGCCATAACTCCTGTAATTTTTATAATATGCAGTATTGAGTAAGATGCATTGCTTTAAATAAAATAAGCCTATTAATTATGATTTAAGAATTGTTATGCGCAAATTTATAATTATTCTTATCGGTGATTTCACGTTTGTCGTCCAAGCCAACGATGTTTACTATGTCACACCCCTTCTCCGCCATTGTCCACCTGCTGACAGGTAATAGCTGTACACCCGTGTGGGCGAAATAAATTACTAGCTGTGGGGGGATTTCATATTTTGTAACAAGCTCTTCGATTTTACTGAGAAAATTTGATTTGAGTTCCTCTAAGTTCTTGATTTCAGGTTTAGCCGTACTACTTCCACGTCGTTTTACCATATTCATTCGTTTCAAAAGCTAGAGTGCCCACTGCCGAGTTATTTCAATGCAACCCCCATTTTCTGCTAACAACGTTCTGTCTTCGGCTAACACAACCCCTTTTGCTATGGCACGGATTATTCGACTGTTTAATATACCACCCGCATCTCTAATTTCAGTCATTAACTCCTTCACTTTCTTGTCAAGATCCTCCCCCAACATTAATGACCGACCCCGTTTTTTCCTTGGAAGTTCATCAATATCAAGATTTTATTTCCTTTTTCGAACAGAAGTGTAAGTTTTTTTGAGATGTCGAACGGTAGATTCTTTTAAATTTAATTCTACGAAATGTTTTCAAGTTTTTGGAGTTCCGTGTTCATTGGCATATTTCGCTTTTTGGCTCCCATTTCTTCACTAAGTATCGTATATGATCCTCTTTTTTGCTTTGTCGGGGTTTCTGTATAAACGAGAGTGAGTTCCTCATTGTCAAGCTTCCGTGCAAGGGATTCCTTGTTAGGACTTTCATATGGCAAGCCCTTTTGCTATTTATTCGGAAAATAAAATTTAACTTAAAATTACTCATTTTAGAGAGATATCTCTTTAAAAATAGAGATATCTCTCAACTTAAAGAGATATCTCTCATTTTGAAGAGATATCTTTATGAGAAAGAGATATCTCTTAAACTTAGAGAGATATCTCTTTTTATAAGAGAGATATCTCTTCCACTTGAAAAGATATCTTTTTCTCCTTGAGAGATATCTCTTTCGTGAAAAGAGATACATAACGTTAAAGATATATCTCTTTCACCTAGAGAGATATCTCTTATACTTTTGGTGATATCTCTCAAGGATAAAGAGATATCTCTTAAAGTAAAAGAGATATCTCTCTTAGTTTATCGTAAAAGATATCTCTTAAAGTGAAAGAGATATCTCTCAAAAGTGTCTAAAAGAGATATCTCTTTCACTTTAAGAGATATCTCTTTGTCGCAAAGAGATATCTCTATGCATATTTTTTATTAAAATTCCATTTCAAATGATTTCTCCCTTTTCCGGAAGTAAACTTTTTATTGACGGAAGTATAGTTTATTATTTCATAAGCTGAGAAAATTCGGTCCATTGCATATGCTTACTTCGTTTTCGTGAATATTAAACTTTACACATATTTATCAACGAAGTTGCCATTATTATTAGTTGTTTCAAGTAACTTGGATTTATAGCATTTTTGTTTACACAGTACATGTATTATTCAGGGTAATTCCTTGCTCAGTCTTTTTTTTTTATAACATAGAAACTATTGCAGAGACTGTACTTCCTGTTTCGGTTTCGTTTTAAGGTGGAGAATTAATTATTCTATTTTAAGCATTATTGGAAAAAGATATCTCTTTCATTAAAAGAGATATATCTTTAGCTTAGAAAGATATATCTTTTTGAAAATTTAAAGAGATATCTCTTTAACTAAGAAAGTTATCTCTTTTAACCTTGTTAAAGAGATATCTCTCTAGCTTGAAGAGATATCTATCTCGCTTAAAGAGATATCTCTCTAGCTTATAAAGATATCTCTCTAAGTAAAAGAGATATCTCTTTTGCTTAAAGAGATATCTCTCTAAGGTATAAAGATATCTCTTTTAGATAAAGAGATATCTCTATAAACTAAAGAGATATCTCTCTATGTTAGAGAGATATCTCTCTCATTGAAAGAATTTTTATTTCACGAATAAATAGTAAAAGGGCTTGCCATACTTTCAGATAAAATAACTGGCCTCTCTTTTTGCGTTGACCCTGGGGTCCACGCAGTAAATATATAAGCGAGGTTAAACCGGATGCCATGGGCAAACGACAGGCTATGCATGCACGAAAATGCTAGAGAGTTCGCACCTTAGGCAACTTGCCCGTAGAAGTATTCGCCCTATTCGAATTAGAATATGTCATTTATTGGCAAATCGCACTTATCCCATTTATATATTCATTGACAGATCAGAATTTCTCTCGTATACGTATACTTTTACAAACTAAACATTGATTCTGCATGTTCTATGGCACAAGCATTTAAAGAAAAAGTAGGAAGAACTTGCGGTATATACTAGGTACATGAAACTTAACATTTTGAATGAAAAACGTCAGTGACTAGTTAAAGTTTTTAAAAGATAAAACAAGTTTTCACCGGTATTACTTTTGTGCATCAAGGCTCGCACATTAAATTAAATTTTGATATTTCCGCAATCCAAATACCGCCTAATAGAGGTCTGTAGCAACAGTTTTTCATGTGGGGGGGGGGCTCTGACAAAATAAATCTGAGTACTACAGAGCTGTGCTACACATGTACCATCAGATTTGTTTTTCCCATGATGAATTTCTTCCGTATAAATCCAGAATAGGTGTCAAGTCCCAGCCATTATGGGTTACATGTATCAAAATAGTCCGATGTTTTAATTGACAAATCTAAATTAAGGCTAATCGGAGATAAAATTTAACAATTTTGCTTTGAGACTACAATCAGTCATAAGTTTGCAGATCATATTGTAGAAAATATGAACAAACCTACATGGGTATTCACTACACCTAGATTTTTGTTAATTTAATTTCGGTTAAAAACACATGCATATGGTCAACGTATTGCAGTCCTTTTTTAAAGGACAGCAACTTGTTTGGTAAAATAATTTTAGATAGACATACTGCCTCACTCAGACGGTGTCTGCCTACCTGTCAAACCATCGGACGATATTGAATCTTGCGAGGGCACTTTACACGCACGGGTAATTTGCTTGTATAGATAAACAGGTTTCTGAAATGACAAGTGCTTACGAACACCTGTTTACTGAGTTAAAAATAGACACCAGCTTTCCGACAGCAAAAATTGGATTTATTTTTTTGATTGTTGATTTATTCTTAAGAAAAAATATATTTTTGCGAATGCAATGCACGCGCAAATTTGCTAAAAATAAAAATTTCCAGATTTACGGTATATATTTTGCCAAAACATTAAAAAATATATCACTTTACTTATTATATGTAAGTATCTAGGACTCTATAATCATTCAAAATCAAATGACTTTGTATCAAGCAATGATTATTGCTTAAAGATAAAGCAGATTTAGGAATAATTAAGACCAGGTGGGAAAGTCTGTGATAAATGCCAGTCAGCTCAATTTTGGACAAGTAATTTTTATCGGAATGTATTAATTTGAACCAATTAGATTACAAATAATTTTTAGTAATTTTTATCAAAATGTAATACTTTGAACCACGTGTATTACTATACAAATATGGACTCAATGTAGGTCAATATGCATTTATAATGACCCAGGCTGAGAGATATTGACCGAAGGTACATGGTGTATATCGACCGAGGGCGCTAGCCCGAGGTCGATATACTCCATGTATCTGAGGTCAATATCTGTCAGCCTGGGTCATTATAAATGCATATTGACCGTACATTGAGTCCATATTTATTATATTATATAAATAACATTTTCCCAAATTTATTAATACAATGTATGTCTTCCTAATTTTTACAGAGATAGTATTTACCATAAATAAGTTGAATGTAAATGTTTAAGAATTTAGTGAATGTTACTCAGAGGAACTTGTTTCGGTAATAAATTGTAACCCGCCATAGCATGATAAAAACGCAAGATATCTATCTCCGAATAATACAGAGTACCCCCTCCCCCAGATTAAAAATCGCACTCGTTTACACTTGCAGAGGAAATTATATGCACGGACAAATTATAAATACCTATATCTTCTACGATAAGATACAATCATACATGGCACGCTAGTCTTTATTTTCTTTAGTCTCCGTAATCGCGGAAACAGTGTCAAAACTCTGCTCGCCGAGTGGAAAAGTCGAATTCAACCATGAAATGGTATGTGCTAAGTATTCCCGAAAAATGTTCACAGATATCCTTGTAATTGTTTTGCATTCTCAGTCTCGGAGTTCTTTACTATATATTTTAAATTTTCCTCACCTACAACTTGCAAACTTGCGAACTTCCATGTTTGTCTAAAGCGAAAGTGAAAACGAGGCAACTTGTGCGAGTCATTATTCGCTTTCAGCGGTCGTTATTAAAAAATAATTACTTCGTATTGACCAATCAGATTACCGGATCTCACAAAGTTATATAATATAAATAAATAACATGTCCTGCATAATAACGTTCCCTTCCCCTATCAACTTCTGCATGTGTTATGCATGCACATCTTTTTGTCATTTAATTCTGCGTTAGAAATGTAAGCTTCCTTTTGTCTAATGTGGGTGAAGAAAAAATCAAACGCCCAAAATGCCGTAATAAACCTTTGTCGCCTCTGATTTCAGTACAGTAAGTTTTAATGAGGGACCCTCCCCGATGAACACAAAAAATCAGAAGCACAAGAAAACTCCTTTAATTATTGCTCGTTGCACAAAAACAATATTTGCCTTTTTTATTTACAGACTTTGATATTACTTTTGTAAAAAAGGAGGATGCCATTCTCTTCAATGGTAGTCAGCCCTTGGAATCCAGAAATATTACACTTTTCACATGGATTAAGAATGACAAATCTAACTTGGTGTTGCTGCAAGGAAAGTCGAGTTCTTCTGATATGAAGATTACATACGGGGAAACAGTCCTAGTGGAAATCAATGGGTATGTCTTAATTAAATTTCAGGGCATCTAAATGTTGCCAACAGATGTAAACAAAATGTTAATAGATGTTTTACACAGGTCAGATTCAGGGCATAGTTAAGTGTTTTACGAGAAAATAACGCGCTTTTGCATGTCTTGTAAAAGAGGCCTATGTGGTTATTTCTTATTTGCCTTATCATTTAGTTTGTTACCCGCTTCCCAAGAAATGTATGACCTGTTTTGACACGTTTCATGTCCTATTTAAATATATCTTGTAAAATATTTATAAAAAAAAATGATATATAACCGTTAATTTAAAAGGAGGAAAATGAAATTTAAAAGGAGGAAAATAAAATTCATGGAGATAAGAAATCATTCATGCTCAGAAGTTATTTAAACAATGCAAATCAGGAGCAGATCAAACACGGACCTATAAAACACTAGGCGTGGAATCAAGTGTCATGGAGGACACCTACTATTACGGAAAATTGTCAAATAATGGTCTTAACATTTGTTTTCTAATTTAGAATTTTGTCGTTAATATTGTCTTTAAATGTTCATTATTATCAATATTCATATGTTTTTTTAAAACTGTACATAACGTTCTTTGAATAAAATTTGGAACTCTCTTTATTTTTCGTGATATTTGAAAAGATCTTTTAACAACATTAAGAAATACTTACGCTTATCTATGCAATACCAAGTTTTACAAAGACTCGATTCAAAATCATTTATTCAATTTCAGATGCAAATTGAATTTGAATATTACGAGAGAAATCCAAAACTGGCATCATGTAGCAATTATTATGAGCACAGAAATAAACACGATAAGTGTCTTTATAAATGGAATAATGGATTCTCAAAAAAGTCTTCCCTGCCATATAAATGCCAGTTTGATCGAACCCGACTTCAGATTTGCTGTTGTACTTGATGAAGACCCATCAACAGGTATAAGTAATAGATATGAGAATGAAAAATATTTTGAAATCTTTGCAACGCTTTTAAATACTCCCTTTAAATTTTATTTCGATTTCTTTGTGCAGAAAGTTAATTGATCGGAGAAACACTCACATTTTCTAGTATAAAAAACTTATTGTTTACTTAATCACATAATAATATGTTTTGTTTTTTTTTTTTGCATCTATTGCAACCGGTTTTAGGGTATATCCTACATGGGCTATGAATGTAGACATTTTTATTTTCATTTATATCTGTGTAATTTTCGTGCAAATTGGTTTTAAGAACTGTTATATTTACCTAAATATTTAATTGATGGTAAAATCAAACCTCAGAAAATGACACCAGTTTCTAAAATTCTTGTCAAATATATCTTATTTTCATATTGCTTATTATTTTTCTTAGAAATCTCGATATCTGGGTATCAGATTACTCCAAATGTTCCTTCTGGTGACGAAATCTTTCGACATTCATCGTCATGTAGTTACATCGGGAATGATACATATGTTACATTGAGTAACATTGACTGGACATCGTTTGATAGCTCACACATTAAAACACCAAGCCAATGTGACAGTGAGTTGTAGAGAGGATAAATTAATTTATGAGGATGAAGTCTAAAACAGAAAAAAGTCCCACAAATATATTTTTTATTCTATAAAATGTTATATGCACTATCAAGATGCTCCTTTGATTTACTTTTTATATCATATATTATAATTCTCATAATAAAAATATTAATTGATATAATATATTATAAATTCTTTATCAATAAATTCTTAAAAGAAAGCTTACTACGTTGGTACATGTACGTGTAAGTCTATTCAATTTCAGATGTAAATCAGTGTATGCCAAATCCATGTAACGGCCACCGCTGCATAGACTTGGTTAGAAACTACAGATGCCACTGTACCAATGGATTCACTGGTGAAACTTGTGAGATTCCCCCCGACTACTGTAGCGCAGCGCCGTGCAAAAACGGTGGTGTTTGTCAGAATGGAAAAAACACTCATATATGTACATGTTCGAAAGAGTTCAAAGGGATAAATTGTGAAATTCCTATCGGTAAGAATTTGTTACATTCATTCCATCTTGCTTTTATATCACTTAGACAAATTCGGTCTTCTTTGGGCAGAATTAATATGACTTATCTGTCTAACTACTGATTGTAAATTGCTTGTCGATATGTATTTCTTTTAATATATAAGGTAAACATGTAATTTACTTTAAATATTTTCAAATCCGCTTGCGATGACCGTTTGCCTCATAATGGGGAGTTACTGGGTTCCCGCCGCCTAGATCATTAAAAAAATAAAATTTTAAGAAAACTTTCCTGTGCCAAACTCTCAGTATTAGAAGTGAACGTAAAAAACGCAAGTCTCATATAATATTAGAACCGATTATTTTTCTCTTCTTGTTCTACATGTAATAACAAAGTATAGATCTAAACTTAATGTTCTTCATCGGTTTATGGTTATATGTACTTCTACATTGATTGAAAAATAGTTCCAAGGGATGTAAAAGAAACAACAGAAACAACTAGAACTTTCAAAAAACGGAACCATCAGCTACATGTATCAGGAATTTGCACAAAGGCATCAAATTTAATGCTTTGAAAATTTTCTTTCCTATTTGACATCAAACTGTCACACTGTTGGAAAGATTATACATGTAATATGCCCAGTACCAAAATTATGGAATTTATGGCCCCAGGGTTTGTAATCTGTAGTAAGGTTGGTGTATTTAAAAAACTATATGTAAAAATGCATTAATTTTATAAAAACTTCTTTTCTTCTTTTCCCGTATCAAAAAGTTCATACTAGTTTGCTGGCTAGTATGATCAAGGGTAGATCCTGTGAGATTTAAAAACAACATGGCCCCATGGTGAAAAGTTCTAAAGGTGATCTTTGATGTTAACAGAGTGAAAATGCTCTTATTCTTTGAATTTTTTTCCTACTATGTGTCTCAAGCATAAAAAAAACTACATGTATATATAAAGTTATAATAAAAAGGGATGCTTCTTAATTCTCTTAAATACAGTAATGATGAGCAAAAATGCTTCTAATAAAAATGTCAAGTATTTGTCCCAGGCTCAAGGGTTTTGGTGCTATTAGAAAAGGCAATATTGAAAATAAAACAAAAAATAGTTGATTCTCTAGTTCCTTGAAACTTTTCAACTTAGTAATATATAGTTGTCAAATATTTTTGCAATGTAAAATATTAACAATAGACCAAACGAAATATAATGTTATTCGTAATAATATTGAAAATAAAACAAAAAGTAGTTGATTCTCCAGTTCCTTGAAATTTTTCAACTTAGTATTATATAGGTTGTCAAATATTTTTGCAATGTAAAGGATTAACAATAGACCAAACGAAATATAATGTTATGACACTAAAATGGTTAAGGTGTGGATTCTTAAATTCACAAGTTTTAAGATACTCAGTTTCTTTCAGACAAAGTTCAGATATAAATTCAAAATATATAGATGTAATAGATATGGAGATATAAAGATGTAAAATGTATAGATGAACATTTAAGCATTCTCACTGTCCTTAAATGGACACTGCTGTCGTACATGTACCATTTACCTTTTGTAAACAAAAATAATTTAATTAGGTTTAAACGTTTAAAATGTGTAACGTATATTAAGTGATTTTTTTTTTAAAAGATTCTAAAATCATACAATTGTTTATTTGCTTGTGGAGAGGTTTTACTTTATCAGTCCCCGGATTATTGGACTATGAGCTAACCTTTACGTCATTCAAGTTATAAGGTTTAACAAAGATTTTTTTTATCAAAATATTTCATAAAATGTATGTCTTAATTTCAGTAGAGTAGGACAGGTAGTTATTAATGACACCCATTTGACATAATACGATAAACTGTTAAGAAATGTATATAAAAAGAAGCCAGAGATAATTCTAAATTTAAATTTAATAAAAGAAGTTTACATGTACGAGGGTCATTCAAAAAATACGTAGACTACACTTAACAAAACTTGCAAGTGTTCACTTTAATAAATGCATTTATTCAAAACCTACTTTATAGAATGGTATGATATTTTCACACTATTACAAAAATGAGTCTTCTCAGCAATTGTAGAGAGAAAATTCAATATCACCGATGAAAACCAATGTTCCGTGACGAAGCTTATAAACAATAAATCTGTACTTTGCAGCACGTGTTTTGTGTAATAAGCATCTTTTTGTGATCATTATCAAATTTTAAAAACTGGTTTCACTAAAAAACACAAAACATTGGCAAAATAACCATTGACGTAGAGGGGAGAGACGTTGGAATATTGATATCTTGGACCATCTTCGCACCACGTTTTACTCATTTTTTTAGTGCTTAATTGTACTTGAAATTACTTTCAAAAATTATCAAACAAAATCAAAAACCCATTTAAACACATTTTTTGTATAGGCTGTGCTGATCTTTTCATCACCAATTTATTACAAACTGAAAGTTTTTGACAAAGTTTAACCACACCAAAAGTGACCTTAATATTCATCTTGGGAGAAAATTTCGCGTTATACCAGATAAAGAGAGTGTTCAAGTGTCCTGAAAAAATCTTAGAAACATGGATACAAACCATTTCAATCGTACGAAAATGATAAGAAATCGTTGCTCGTGGCAGTCTTATATCAACTCAGGCAGTCTGAATCATCCTTAAAGTGTCGCACTTACGTGCTAAACAACCAAGGGTATTGACCAAAAGGTACTTGTGTGACGATACACTATCAAATTCCCGGATCTGAATCCCATTGAATACATTTGGGATTTTAAAAGAAATGTCAAAGCCCCCCCCCCCTTTTCCTCACAATTTCAATGGTTTGGAAAGATCTAGTATGCAGTACATGTAGGTGTGGCAGCAGATGGGTCAATCTCCTATTCAGGGGTACATGGTATCCAACAATAAAGATTGTCTTGAAGTAATAGAGCGAGTAGTGGGTCTTACTCCATCGAGATTTTTTTGTGTGAATTTTCATTTAAAGGGTAAATCATTTCCTTGACGCTTTGCTTAAAATTCTGACGAGATACTTGCATGAAATTTACGCAGCATCGAACTTAAATATGCATCATTAACCAAGAATTAAAGAAATTAATTATTGTTTGCATTTGTTCTTTAAAACTTCAAAAATTTGAGGTGAACACTTAGGAGTTTTATTATTACAAGATGATAGTTGAGCACATTATCGTAAATATGAACATTTATTTTGTCGAAGTGTGAAATTCTAGTCCATTTGATTGAATAGAACTCAAGTTAGCCGATTTTTAAAGCAGCATGTTCTGTTATCACGGACCACGGTTAACCAGCATTGTAACGTCAAAAACAACGTCGAGAAAGTTTCTCAAAATTACTCGACTTTTTAATTTCATACACGGTTTGTAGTGTCTTTCCCATTCATAAAAACGTATGCATAACACTTAACACCTAGTTTGCAAACAATTATGCAAAAAGCTTGAACTAGGTTTTCAGTGTTTTCAGATTCTTTACCGCGTACATGTTAGTCGATTAGTTCCGCAACAGTGAAACGCACATCACGTTTAATAACGTTCCTAAGTCTTTTGACAAGATTTTATACTAAAACCTGTTTCTTTGCAGACCATACATCGTCCGAATTCAAACTCGCTTCCACTCAAACATCGTATTTTCCAGATTTATACAAATACACGGCTTTTTTTCCATATATATATCCTGGTTTCTACAGAATTTTTTAAGTTTGTTAAAGAAGTTCCCAGATGCAAAGCATAATTTTATTGCTACTCGCTGCTCCTTGACGTCCTCCAACGTCATTTTTTTTTGCCATTTTTTCATCAAGTCCATATGTGTTTAGAAACTGATATTGATTGATTGATTGTATATTGTTTAACGTCCCTCTTGAGAATTTTTCACTCATATGGAGACGTCACCAATGCCGGTGAAGGGCTTCAAATTTAGACCTATACTCGGCACTCAGGGCCATTGAGCAGTGAGGGTTCTTTATCATGCCAACGCCTACCGTGACACGGGACCTACGTTTTTAAGGTCATATCCGAAAGACCCGTGACTTTCACTTCTAGTGCCGAGCGCTTGGCGAAAGAACAGTCACTACCTATGTTTACGTCTCAGGTATGACGCGGCGCCGCGATCGAGAATCGAACCCGGGCCTCCCGATCAAGAAGCAAACGCTCTACCACTAGGCTACCGTGACCGGTTTAGAAACTGATATCTTTTAAACGTAGCAATATATTACATTACCTTATAGCATCTTTAGTAATACAGCAAGACTTAATTTTAACATGTAATTTAAATTATGTTTCAGCTCCAGGTATGGCTTTCGATACTATAAAGTGAAAAATAGATAATTACTCAATTTTGACATTGCTCCGTGACCCCATTTTCGCTGTTCTAGATCTTCGATAACTTTTATGAATATGAGGATATATTCCAATTTTTTTCTCAAATTATTTGAATTTGCTGTTAAAATGTGTGTTCCAAATTTGAATATGATATGACGTTAAATAAACAAATTATGGCAAAAGTCTACGAACTTTTTGAATGACCCTCGTACAATGTAACACCATGCAAAAATCTTACAATATTCAACTTTTCTTAAACGTGTTTACTTTTTCTTTCTGATTCGTATTTTTAATGTAGATTTGTTACTTAAACAGATTGATTTCCAGTCGGTCCTTTATATTAAAAAAACCTCTTTGTAGTGAACGGTGGTTGGAGTGCATGGGGTGATTTTTCTGACTGCTCAGTATCATGCAATGGAGGCATTAAGACGAGATCTCGTGTTTGCAATAATCCATTTCCGGATCCTGAAGGTCTTCAATGTGACTCTTCATTGTCATCGGAAAGTTTACCATGTAACACAAAGTCATGTCCAAGTAAGTCACAGTCTTATATACCACAGTTTGAAGTATTATTATGTTATTGAAAAATCAATGCGAAATGTAAATTTAAAGTGTAGTTTTGCAGTTGATTTATTTAAATCATTAAAAATCCTGGAATGAAAATAAGTTACAAATAAAATGTGGATTTAACAGATAATAAAAATAATCATGCTCAAAATGTATTTACAGAACAACATATATTGATAAAAAAGCAAACGTACATAGAGCTAACAAAATATCAGAAATGATAAGATAAATAATTTTTGAAATACCCTTTAAAAATATCAATTTAAGCTAGTTTTGTTAGGAATTTAATAAGTTATTTTTTTGAAAATCTACAACACCCCTGTATACGATAGTGCTTCTGTTTTCCTAATGTTAACATTACATGTTTTGTCAATAAACATTACAACAACTTGATAAAAAAATTAATTGTTTCTTGTTTTATGGTACACAGTGTTCTCCCTTAAAAGGTAGCACGTAAAATTTAATTTTACCCCGAAATGAATAATAATAATGATAATAATACTTAGATATATGAATATATCGATTACAAGTGGAAATAGAGTAGCAATTCTTTCTAACATTTTGTTATATAGCTTGTCCGGAACTTCAACTCTCCTTTGGTAACGTAATGAACTGTTCGGATATTAGTGGAGATAAAGTTTGTTCAGTGTCTTGTGTAGCAGGATATACGTTTGTACCAGAAAATCTTCCTCTCAAAGAGTATCAATGTGGACAAAGTACTGGTTATACTTGGAATGGCCTTACACCTGCTTGTGGGAGTAAGTTATAGAAAAACAAGTGCTTAATATATACATTTGTGGTATCTCTCCATTATATAAACATACAGAGAGAAAATATCTTCAATTCTGTATGAAGTTTGTCAGAGGTCAAAGGTCAATACGTGACCTAATCACACGGCGCAATAATATCTACCTGGTACATAAATTATAAAATGACCAGCTCTACTTGCTTTTCATGTACAAAAATGAATAAAAGAAGCAAGTATAATGATAATTATTTTATTTTAAATGTAAACAAGTATTTCATACAGTTTTGGGGCTATCGATTCAACCCGTGTACATAGAGAAAACTAGGAGCCTAGCGTTTGTTTACATTTTTCTTCACTTTTGTCAGCTGCACAGTCTCTAACGTTCATCCTTTATTTTTTGGAAAGACCTTTGGTTAAATTTTCATGATAAACTTTTATTTTATCATTAAATTTTACTCACGATAAATGTGCAAATCTGTTGGAAAATATCTTTGCAATCATGCCATGAACAGCTGCCAAACACCTCGGCGTTTTCGTAGTTCAATGTAAAGCTGTCGCCATTGTCTCCGTGTTTATCAGTGTTTTACTATAAGTATGCCTTTAGATACTGAAACCGTGGAATGTTTTTGATCAAACTGCAAATTAACTGGCTCGGACAAGTGTCTCAATCCATCGGATCCATCCATCCCTTTCCAGCGACCGAAATTCCTCCAACCTCTTATCATCAAACTTCGGACGTGTTTCTTGTGTCTTTTCAGGATCGATTATCATTTTTCACGAATAAAATATTCCAAGACAACATTCTGTTCACTATTACTGATCACAAGTAGCCTTTCACAAAATATTCCCTTCGAAATAGATTCCTTAGCCTAATGAATTCGAAGCGTAACCGCCATGCAAGCCGATTTACACCTTGCGTCATTTTTCAAAATCTACGACGGACGGTTAGTGCAATAATTCAAATTTGAAAGTATTCAATCGTCTGTCTCAAATGTATATATAAGTAATAAATAACAAGTTTATAAACTTCAATGGGAATTGAAGTGGGTCGGTACGTGATCAAATCTTCTGAGAAGGTCTTCGGCCTTCACATTATTTGATCAGGTTACAGACCCACTTCAATTCCCATTGAAGTTTATAAACTTGTTATTTATTTCTTAATTATATGTCTTATACATGTAAATAATCACAATACATGTATATGTTTAACTACTGGATTGAGGTGAGGTATCCCAGATATATAAGGATACCTATACAATTATACATAAGATATTCAGCTGGATTTTTAATGAACTTTCTTCATTTTATCTTTACATGACAAATAGAAAGAATGCAATTGTTCAGCATATCAAATCAGTGCGTTGTTTGTAACATGTATTTGTAATGACATTTAATAAAATAAAAAAAAAAACTACTGGATTGCGTTTTTATTTTTCAGAAGCGATGATACCGAATAAATTATCTTCAGTAACTGCCATTGAGTACAACTCTTCAATTCCATGTACAGACTCTTCCTTAGCCATAGAAACTCTTCATAAAAACTTAGAATCAACATTGTCCTGCTATAAACATGGGATATGTGAACTAACAACTTCAATAGACGGTTTGTATTTAAACAACTTATTACTAAATCACTGCTTCTTATGGCTCCTGGGTCATAAAACTTAGCCGAGTTCATCTTATATCTTAGTCTAACTTTTACCAAAAAATACACAATGGAAAAGTAAGACTGGGATCAAAAGTGAACTCGTTTAAGTTTTATTGCCCCGGAACCCGCTTAGAGATTTGGTGTCGTGCAGACATGCAGATTTTCGGGCATCCTAGTTTTTTCGGATATGTGTTTTTGTCATCATTCATGAAAAGACGTATAATTGTTAGATTATGTAAAATAGCATTTGTCTAGTCTGTTTGGGTGTGCCAGGGCATCAACGATACGTTTGAAAACGTGAGATAATTTGCAGACCGGTGAAGTCTGTGATGCATTAATTATCCCATGTTTCCAACGGCATGTGGTATCTCTGGCATAATCATGAAACTAGCTAGACGGTTATTCCTATATAAACATTAGTAATTCCAAAAATGTTGTCTTATGTATTCTCGCGTCAGATACAAATACAGCTGCACGACGTATCATAATTGAGTATAATGTAAACTTTATAAAATCACCTTTCGCGCTGGAAAATAAGCTAAGACCGATATTATGAACATACATATTTTGCCTCAAACATGAACACATTAAAATAAGACAATATTGTTCAGAAACTGTGATCACAATAAAGGGTATTTCAAACATAGATTTTTCTTTTTTCTATGTGTTGCAGTATATTTTTTATCCAAAAATATATTATCGATCTTATCTTTATTCAGAATGTGAAAACAAAAACGAAGCAGGTTCTTTAAAAATAACTTTGAATGCAATACTTCCTGCTGTGGACTTGGATTTGTTACATTACTTGACAACAGGAATGTGTGAGTAAATATTGATTTATATATGAAATGATACTGATTTTTTCTTAAATCTAATGTTTTGATTAAAAAGAAACAAGATACCGATTTTTTATATACATTTCTTAAAATGGGTCTTAATTATTTCTATTAAACTAATTTATATTATGTTTGTCTGATATATTTGAGAATGAACATTAACGAGCATTTCTATTTTTAAAAGCATAATTATTTCTTTTTACATTATAAAAAACCCCTTGGACTGTAAATTAAAAAAAATGTAATAGTAGATATTTTGAGATAAATAAACTATACAAACAAAACCGTAGCAATTAAATAAAATATGTCAGTCATAAAGTCACAAAATTGAAGGTAAATATATTTTGCACGTTGTCGAAACAACGAAAACATACCTGAGTTTCAATAAAAAAAAATATATAAGATATGACGTGTAATAGATATCAAATAAATGTGAATTTTCTAGTCAAACTATAAATTCATAGGCATTTGTAAGCTTCTAACCAATGCATATCTCTCTTATGCGTGAACAGAAGAAAACACTTTGCCTTCAACTCGACTTTTAGGTATATCGACGACGTATTGTCAATTAACAATGGTAATTTTCATTCCTACGTCGATATGTTGTATCCTGATGAGCTTGAGAGAAAAGATACCACAGAGTCTGACACATCTGTTTAATACTTGGATATTTTGCTTGAAAAAGACGTTAATGGTAATCTAACAACCAAGCCATATGATAAACCTGATGACTTTAGCTTTTTTAACGTCAACTTCCCTTATTTATGCAGCAATAAACCTATATATATATATCTCAGTTGATTCGATACGCAAGAGCATGACCTACGTATGAACAATTTATAAAACGAGGTAAATTATTGACAAGCAAGTTGATGAAATAAGAATATCAGCAGACTCGTTTTAAGTCATCATTTTGTAAATTCTATGGTCTATACAATGACCTTGTCAGCAAATACAATTCATCATTGAGTCAAATGCTGTCTGACGTTTTTATGCCCCGCCATGAATATGGCCGGGGCATATAGTGTTTGTCATATCCGTCTTCCGTCCTTCCGTCTTTCCGTCCTTCTGTCCTCTCCTTCCGTCCTTCCGTCACACTTTGTGTTTAGCTCTGTTCAAAGCTAAGTTTCAAAGAAACCATCCAAGACATTTTCATCAAACTTCATATGCTGATAGATATTGATGGGAGCTATGCAACTGCATCAACATTTTTTGACCTTGACCTTTCTTTTGATCTTGACCTCACTTTTCTTAAATTAGTGTTTTGCTCAGTTTTTAACATACCATTCAAGATGATGTTATCAAACTTCACATGTTGATACAAACTTGCATGGATGATGCATCTAGGGATGAACACTACCAGATTTGCTTCGGATGCTGGGTCTGACCTACATTTTCCAGATGAGTGACCAGGTTAAAGTTCTTGGAGCAGGTCCATTCCCAGGGAACTATAAGCCCTACTTAGACCAAACTTGCATGGATGATGCATCTTAAGATTGACACTACCAGAATTGCTTCAGATGCTGGATCTGACCTACATTTTCCAGATGAGTGATCAGGTTAAAGTTTTTGGAGCAAGTCCATTTCCAAGGAACTATAAGCCCTACCCAAACCAAACTTTCACGAATGATGCATCTAGGGATGAACACTACCAGACTACCAGAGTGACCAGGTTAAAGTTTTTGGAGCAGGTCTATTACAAAGGAACTATAAGCCCTACTTGGATCAAACTTGCATGGATGATGCATCTAGGGATGGACACTGCCAGACTTACTTCGGATGCTGGATCTGACCTATATTTTCATTCCCAAGTAACTATAGGCCCTACCTGATCTAAACTTGCATGGATGATGCATCTAGGGATGGACACTACCAGACTTGCTTCGGATGCTGGATCTGACTTATATTTTCATTCCTAAGTAACTATAGGCCCTACCTGAACCAAACTTGCATGAATGATGCATCCAGGGATGGACACTACCAGACTTGCTTCGGATGCTGGATCTGACCTATATTTTCATTCCCAAGTAACTATAGGCCCTACCTGATCTAAACTTGCATGAATGATGCCTCTAGGGATGGACACTACCAGACTTGCTTCGGATGCTGGATCTGACCTTTATTTTTATTCCCAAGTAACTATAAGCTCTACCTGAACCAAACTTGCATGGATGATGCAACTAGGGATGGACACTACCAGACTTGCTACGGATGCTGGATCTGACTTATATTTTCATTCCCAAGCAACTAAAAGCCCTACCTGAACCAAACTTGCATGGATGATGCATCTAGGGATGGACACTACCAGACTTGCTTCGGATGCTGGATCTGACCTATATTTTCATTCCGAAGTAACTATAAGCTCTACTTAAACCAAACTTGCATGGATGATGCATCTAGGGATGGACACTACCAGACTTGCTTCGGATGCTGGATCTGACCTATATTTTTATTCCCAAGTACAGACCCTGAGACGTGCTACTACCACAAAAAAGCGTGTGACCTTCGTGCGCTTTCCGTTTCGTGCAAACCGTGTAGCGTTTCGTGTAAACCGTGCAGCGTTTCGTGCAAACCGTGTAGCGTTTCGTGTAAACCGTGCAGCGTTTCGTGTAAGCTCCAAAGCGTTTCGTGCAAACCGTGTAGCGAGCGTGCGAAAAGCGTGTGAGAAACGTGCGACTTTCGTGTAAGAACCGTGTGAGAAACGAGTGACTTTCATGCAAGAATCGTGTAAGATTCATTCGGAAGTCATTTTATTTTAAATATGGCCATCGATCGGTCAGGATGTCAAATTGTATTAGTATTTTATTATTGAATTAATGTTGCTTGTGATATTTTAGTAGTAAAAAAAAAAGGAACAACAAAATGAAATTACACGGTAATGTATATATAATTTATATTTATTTGTTTTCTTTTCCTTCTATAGAAAATGTGTTCAAATTAATCAACTATGAACAAAAATTTTAATGGCATTGAATTCAATATACTTTCTATGCGATCTTCTTAAATATGTTTTTTCTCAAATAAAGATAACGGTATAATTTTTTTTTAATTTAAAGCAAAAATATTTCAGGACTCCTCTCTTGTCTTTACATTTAAAGTACGTGAAAGAAAGTTTTGAAACGATGTGTCATTTAATACATTTTAATACATAAAACTTTTTGCTCATTATTTTAAATAAACGGATTGTATAATTTTAATTCACATGTACTGACGACCACATGTTTAGAAACGGGGGGGGGGGGGGTAAATTAAATTACTAGACGTAGAGTCTTTCATTTTTTGTTATAACTTTCAATCTTATGTTAGTTTAAATAAATGCTTAATTTTTTATTCTTTTTTAAATCCTTTGTTAAATATGTGCGCAGATACACCCCTTAAAAATGCATTGGAATCTTCTTTTCGCCTTTCAACTGTGATCAAGATCATTTACAACAGCGATCACGGACTCCGAGTACATGGCAACTGAAAAACTGTTTTGTTATACGAGTTCACGGCTTAATGACACCTGAAAATTACGACTGGATTTTATTGTTTTTGAAATAAAATGGTTCTATAAATATTTAATGGGTACAACTTATAAATCAGCGGATTTCATTTTTTATTTGCAAATCCGAATTTCTAGCTGTAAACAGTAAAATAAACAGAACTGATTTGGTAGTCTTTTCATGAATATCATGTAAGAAAAGCTTAGGCGTAAATCATGAATAATTGTAAATTACCAGGGTATTTGTTTTATAAATCACGTATACTTTTTAATTCATCTATTTCAGTTCTCTTTTAATATACCTGAATGCCGGTGTAAGGATCGATCTACATTGTATATACAATGTATAGTCAAATGCCGCGACTATCAATTCATGTACACATATCTACATACTTTAAGTCGGGTTTTGAAATGAGGGATTTTACAATATGATGGGTATTCTGATGTTATTTGATAAGCTTCATGTAAAAAGAGAAAGAGAATAAAAATATATTAAGACATCAGATTTAACCCCCCCCCCTTTCACCGGTTTCCCTCCTATAGATAATGCTTATGTAGGATAAAAAATTCTTTAAAAATGTATCAATAATCGTCAGTAGAGTATATGGGCAAATTTTATTACTAAATCAAAATCTAGAAAAATAATCTGTCTACGGAAATCAAACACAATATAATCAATATTATTTAAAATCAATGTGTTCATATTCCTGCAGTAAGAAATCGAATTTGCGTTTAATTTATTTAAATATACTCGTAAAATTATTACATCAAAATGAATTACTAATATATATAAAATGTATTTTATTAAACAGTCATTCATGATATCGGCATTTCGTTTTTAAACAGCTGGATAAATAAATAAATAAATAAATAAATAAATACGAAATGACAATTATTTATTAATTAATTACAACTGTCAGAGTATTAAATATTTCTATCTGTTTATATAATACTAGTGTACTGATATTTAATTTAAACAGGTGCTAAATGTGGCTTTGTGAAAGATTTCCATTAAATTGATGATAAAACCGTTATAATGCCCGAGATATTCCGAGTAGAAAATCAAAACCGAGGCCAAAACGTGCGAGAATCGTGTACAGAGCGTGTGAGAAACGTGTACAAAGCGTTTCGTGCAGCCTTTCGTGTAAACCGTGCAGCCTTTCGTGCAAAGTGTTTCGTGTAAACCGTGTAGCGTTTCGTGCAAACCGTTTAGCGTTTCGTGTAAACCGTGCAGCGTTTCGTGCAAACCGTGTACCGTTCGTCTACCGTTCGTGCAGCGAGCGTGTGGGGTAGTAGCACGTCTCAGGTTCTGTAACTATAAACCCTGCCTAAACCAAACTTGCATGGATGATGCATCTAGGGATGGACACTACCAGACTTGCTTCGGATGCTGGATCTGACCTATATTTTCATTCCCAAGTAACTATAAGCCCTACCTGAACCAAACTGATCAAATTATATACACTACAAATTTTCATGTTGCTTTACTAATATATCCTCGGCGGGGCATTCATGTCCTGTGGACATATTTCTAGTTCATATTAATTACTAGTCCATCATATATACACTGAATTGACAACGGATTTTTCTGTTATTGCCTGATCATGACAAGGAGCACACGGCGGGTGTGACCGGTCAGCAGGGGGTGCTCACTCCTCCATGGCACTTAATCCCACCTTTGATATTTCGGAGATTCGTGTTTGCTCTTCTCCTAATTTGTATTGTTTTTTATGGTCTTTGAGACTGAATACTGTTCGTTTTCTCTCTCTCTCTCTCTCTCTCTCTCTCTCTCTCTCTCTCTCTCTCTCTCTCTCTCTCTCTCTCATTACGCAGTCATTCTATTGCGTGACTATACTGTGCAATAATTTAGGAATAGGTATACATATACCATTTTAACGCACGATATCTCATTATATCTTTAAAGTAGAATTAGCTGGGTTACCCGTATCCGTAAATAAAATATATGATTCATTCAATCATCCATCACACCTATTCATCATCGGATTTTGATTTGTAAGCATGTATATGTTTTACATGACGCTTTTTTTTCGCTTTCATTTTTATAGTGAACAAAGGTTTGAAACTCTTGGTAAATACACTGGTAGACCTAGAAAACTCTACCAAAAAAATAAATGATTCAAACGAAATCCTTTCCTTCGACATGGGCGGGGTTAAATATTCACCTTCAAGGAAACAGGCTACAGGAATTGTTGTGTGTGGAGTCGGACAAGGAAGTGATGGCCCTATTTGCAGTAAGACATTTAGCTACACTTTAGTAGATCAGTTGACATTAAAACAATTTAATTAAGCATTTTAATGTACTGATTTTATACTTTTACTCATATAGAGAAAATCGAAACGTATAGATACGTGTAGTTTAAAAGTATATCCTTAAAACTATAAACTGACCTAAATATTGGTCATAATATTCCACGAAAATAACCAAAAGACACTTTTTAAAACATCGATAACAAGATATTGAGGAGTGTCCTGTAACCGATGTTTCTCATAAGTTGTTAAATCATATCCGTGATTGTCAGAAGTTGTAATTTTGTCATATACGTAATAATCATTTCAAAATAGATAAAGAAACATGCAATGACGAAAAGACAAAAAGATAAAAACTTTCCTGAAACATTTTTAAACAACTTTGTAAAAGTAGGGGATTCGTTTTATGTTTCACTTTAAGGAAAACAAATCAATTTGATGACTACTTAAGTGTAGATACTATAGATATTAGCATCATTGTTACGTTTTTTTATCAATTTTGCATTATTTGTCACAGTTGATTGTCCAATGGGCACGTATTCAACGGCTGGGAAATGTCTTCAATGCCCAAAAGGAACTTATCAGAGTGAAATTGGACGAACTCAGTGCATTATTTGTCCTTCTGGTTTAGGTACAAAATTTGTAGGATCTCAGGATGTCTCCAAATGTACTGGTGAGTGTTTTACTCGTTTGGCAGTTCCGGAAACTAAATTTTCACTGACTAGATTTTCATCGACTTCATACACATTACTTTTTTTAACTTTTTATATAAATAGAAATATTTAGTATACAAAATGTTAAAACTATATACGTATTAAATTATTGCTCCATTTTTGGGTGACTTATATCATTATTTTACTTATAATAATGCACGGTATTTGACACTTTTTAATACAATTATTAGCCATTTAAAATATCTTACTCGAAGTTAAAAAAATTATATATTTATATAAAAAAAAAATAATGTTGCATTTTGATAACCTCAACACTTTATGCTCTTTTTTTTCCTTTTTTACCTGGTGTATATTCTTTAAATGTGCACATTTATAACCGATGTCCAGATTGATATTGTTCCGCATACAGGTTGTATTACACTGACTTTATGAGAAATTCAAATTAAATATATACAAAATGTATAATTCTGCCTGTATTTGGATATCAAAAGTTGCTATGTTTACATTTCAGAAGTGACAAACGGTACCTCGAACTCTTTTGAGGAAGACCAAGGAAGTAGCACTTTGGGTAATTTAATGACTTTAGATAATTTAATATAATATAAAATAATTCATGATCCCCTTTGATATCGGATTGAGAGCTGTGTACCTATTTAGTTTTCTTTATATTTAGAAGTTACAGAAGCTGTGATTATTGCACTCTCTGTGACGACGATTGTAACGGTCCTCCTGATTGTGCTGAGTGTAATTTTTCGGCGTTATTGTCGCAAACGAGAGAACGAGTAAGTTATTGTAAATTTTATGAACGATTATAATTGTATTTGCTGAAACAAATAATAAATTTCAGAATATCTCCAAAATAGTGAACCTATGATAGCTTTTAAGCTCATAAATAGCAAGAGACAAGTATTCGCCTTTGAGAGAAACACCAATGTAAAGTTGAAGAACTCAAAAACCAATATTGCTCAATCGTTTTTCTTTTTAAGTTTTCAGATGATTATAATAAATTAGCCAACTGTTTGATGTAAGTTAGAGATTTAACAGATTCCATGATGGATAACCTGATCTTTACGTGACTCGATTCATCATCGTCACGTATGGTTTGAATCTACTCCAGCGAGTTGTGTTATCAAACATGTCGTCATCAATTTGTACGTTTGCGTTTTTGGCATCGTCCCTTAGTGACATCATAAATTATGCAGTTGATGAGTAATCCGGAACACTGATACAAGTGCCTAGTTTCAAACATTTTTATCTTACCATTTCTTTTAAATGTAATTTTCGGTCATGCAGTCAAAAATACCACCTATTTTTTTACCATGTTTCTTTTACCTTTCAGTATAGATTACATACCGTATAAAATTATCTAGATATGGGATACATGTAGATATTAAGGATACCAGAGTGTTTATTTTTTAGTTACATATCATATATGATATGTATCGGTGAATGTATAGATGAACATGAAAAAAAGTTAAAATAGGGGAATACTATAAATTGGTCTATTTATGCCTTTGTGTTAAACTTTTGAATAGAACAGCCAATTCTATAATGATAGAGTGAAAGAGAAAAAGACTAGTATTGTTCCACAATCACTTGGTTTTTGTTTTATTTGTTTTATTCATTACAGGAAGCCAGATGAGGCTTATATGAGGAAAATATCTATCTTAAGTACTGGAAACATGCAGACTCTTCAAAAACCTAAACGTGAATGGGAAGAACGCAAGGGCAATATTTACGTCAGTATGCCACCAAAGAAATTTCGTGCTTAGAATATTTTATAATGAATTTTGAAAATCTTACATTTAATGATTTTCTACCAGAAACAAACAAACTGAATGTAAGATAGATGTACAATTTTTAAATCATTATACCAATGTTATATGTCTTCAAAATTGTACATGTACTAATACTAATTTTTACTTGTTTTTTTCTGTTTTGATAGGTAAAAAAAATTATGTTTTAATATAATCAAGGATTATAAAACTAGCAAAAGCCATTTGTATAGACATCTTGATTGTATTGTGCAAGAAACACCATGTTTTTTTCCCTAGTGAATAATCTCAATATATATAGTATTCTAATCTTATCACATTTATATACATATGTTTGTAATAATTTTTTGGCTTCATATGAACTTAACGTTAATTCTATTTTTTATTGTCAACTTTTTTGTACATAAGACATTTTTCCCAGTATGTCTCAAATGCTATTCCGCAACGATAAACTAATGTAAATATATTATATTTAGCATATACGATATTTGACGGAAATAGATTTTGAAAAAAGTAAGCGCAGATTTGATATAGATCACTTTCTAGATGTTCTTTTTTAATGCATATATGTGCAAGAAATTTAGCGTCAGATGTAATAAATATGGTATTTCTACTGTTTATGACCGTAATGCAAGCAATCCTTCAAGAGGAGAAATGCATAAACCGATGACAAATATAAGTACAGTAAAATAACGTTGATTCCTAATTATACGCGATAAATTATTTTTTACATAATTCCGCATGAAAAATTACCTACGAAATAAAATTACCCGCTTTGATTGTTATTGTGCTTAAATCCATGTTAATTCCCTTGATAAACCTTTTTATTTTCGCGATTTGGCACTACAAAACCAATTCACGATACATAAGTACAGTATCTACATCACGAAAAACATATCTTATGGTATGCAAAACTATGTAAATATTATTTTTATGATAATACTGTTCATATTTTGCTGAGTTCAAACGTCATTTTGTTGGCTGCATGTTATTTTTTCTCAAATTTTTATAGATTAGACGTTTATTGTGCTATAGGAAATTTATTGTCAATAGTTGTTGTATTTGAAATACCCAATATGTATACATGTTTTACTAGATGTGATATTGTGCATTGCTTTGTATATAAATTATAATCAATCTATTGATGAATAATTAAATACAGCTAACACTAAACATGCCTTACTTTACATCAGAAAGAGTTTTGACGAGAAACTTTGTTTAACATCCAATTCATGTTGGGTTATTAAAGCTGAATTTCATTTATAAAAAGCATATTGATTTTATAAAAGCACCCAAGTTAGACTTGTCTGGAACGAATCCCAACATGTTTACAAATTTTCGAAACTAAAACTGCCATTCAAGTATTTCATTTGAAAATAACTACTCCATCGAAACATGACGAAAGAAGTAGCATTCCAGAAACAACTGTGTATATATTGATATTCTTAAATGTCAACAGTTTTGGTAAAGTTAAATAATTTTGTTTTCACGAAAGCCTAAAATTTAAGATCTAAGGTGCCATTAATGACAAAAATGAAATACTGGAATGTTACATATTTCTTCAGGTATTACAGGGCTATATAATACAGATAACAAGCTCACATTACTTGAAAACTCAAGGAACTTTATTCTGTTATTGACATATTACATTTTGTCTGTCATCCGATTGTCTGTAAATTTTTCACATGTTAGACTTCTCTCAAAAACTACTCGGCTAGTAACCAAACTTGCCACAAAGGATTCTTAAGGATTCAAAGTAATTAAACTGATGGACCTCTACAATTGTCAAGGTGAAATAACTAAGAAGAAATGAAAATTGGTTTGATCATTCCAACATTTTTCCTTTTTATTAGTTATTGAGCGAAAAAAAAGAAACTTGCATGAAACCTTTATTAGATAGAATGGATCCTTGATTTAATTATGATCTCGGGGGGTTAGAATATTTCAACAATTGGGAATCAACAATTGACATTAGAGACATTATCACAAAATTTAATGTATAATCTTCTTCTCTTTCCCTGTAGATGTATATAAACGACAAGGTAAGAAGTATTTATGATCAATGGTGCCTCCTTCAAATATAATATTTGTAACCACAGGTTGAAAGGTTTGGGGGGAAGAGGATATATTTATTATATATGGATAGTGAATAATATTTGTGTTCACATGAACATCTTCTCTGCTCCAAGGTATTTAGCAGACAAACCAAGTACATGTATATACAGACTTTGGTGGTTTTAAATTCTAATTTTGATCGTTAAATGCAGACAGGTGTAAAATAAAATCACACTTTATACAACGCCCTTGTACTTACATGTATAAAAACCAATAAGTGTCTCTTCCAAAATTGTTAATACCTTCGTCAGAGCTCAGGTGTTAGGAGAAGCTCTATAGATCGTATGGTAAAACTGTACAATTGTTTGATAATCTTCTCTCCATCTATGCTTAATGATGATCAAGGATGTCTCTGGCAAAATTATGAAATTTGTATCCCAAGGAAGATAAGAGGTTCAGTAGGGATGGGCTCGACTGATTATAAAGTAAAAAATATGGGGAGGGGGATTATTTAGAAAAATCTTCTGCAATCATAGTTATCTTAGGAATGAACTAAAATGCTATCTGAATACTGTATAACCTTGGTTGGGGCAGTGTTCGCTTTAAAAACCGCGAATAGGTTTATTAAAACGCGAAAACGTGACTTACACATGCAGGTAATACCAGTTTTACTTGATTTGCTATTAAATTTATTCCTTATAATTTTCAATCATTAAGTGTATAGAAAACAAGACAATACCTCCCTTAAAACGGCTTCAATTATTCATATATAAAAAGTAAAGTCAAGCAGATTGAATTGATTTTTACGAAGTCATTGTGGCGTAGGCAAACCAGATATATTCAGTCAAAGGATGAGTTACAGCCAAAATTAAATAATCAAGCAGATAGATTAAGTAACTATATAGTTATGATAAGCAAATGCGCCTACTCCAAAATTGTGAATATTGGTATTGCCCCTTGTGGAGGGCATCATGTAATGGAGGTTTGTTTTATAAATAGTACGAGTGCAGTTTTGAATCAATCTTCTCTGTCCCAGAATATTAAATAAAAGAATTTGTTATGACGAGCATTGAAAACTTCTTAAAATAGTTGAATTCCATTACCCGGGGTCAGGTTTTTTGGTGTAAGGGTGAGCCTGTCTAGAATATATATAAGAAATGCATTATTTCTTTGAAAATCTTCTCTGTCCGTAGATATTAAGGAAGCGTAATGAGTGCATGTATTGTTTTATCTAAATCGCAGAAAAAAAAACAATTTTATTACTTATGATGAACAAGAGCGCTCCTTTCAATATTAAAAATACCTTGACCCCTCGGTCAAGGGCATTGATATTAGGTCAGGGCTTTCAGCAATCTTAAATTGAGTCACTATTTCCTTCAAAACATTTATTTTTGCTTTTGAGAATCTAGAAGGCAACAAAAGAGATTGAACAGCTGTAATAAGCTGTGGTATTTCTATTAGAATTTGAAAATATATTTATATATGTACCCTTTGATCAATTAACTAATTTCTACTAAAAGGAATTATTCCGAATCCGAGCATGTCTAGCCAACTGATGAGGAGGGATTTACCCGCAGCTGACGCTGTTTCAAAATGGTAGTTGATTTGCT